AGAAAACAATAAGGAATAGAAGATCAAGTGTTTTGCAATAGTTCAACCCGACCCAGTGATAAAGAAAAGTGTCATCTTACCATATGATCAGGGGCTTCTAATCCATATTGCATGATGTATTTTAGACCACCCATTGTTTTCAGAAATGTAAAAATACCTTTATACTAAATTGAGTAAATGTGTCCATCTGGACCTACATTTGCTTATGTGCACACCCTTCAATTCTCATTTCTACGTGCATATGTGCAAAATGTTTTTAAATGATATTTTTAAGAAATTAGCATTCTGATTATAGCACACAGGGTCCCTTATCTAACAGGATACACTAAACATCCATTATATGACTAAAATGCTCAGAGCACTCAGAGAAACAGACTTAAATGGAAATCCAACAGATGATAAATTATAGCTTTTGAGAAAAGTAAAGCCACCATAAACCGATGCTGGGATTCTGTAGGCATATTTAAATTGCACCTTTCCACCAGGGGACATCCATCTCTGCCTACAACCTAGTAAAGACCACAAAAATTACTGCAATGACTTCCTTTGAGTTAGAAGGGATTAAAGAGGTAAGTCAAGGTGGAATTATCATTACCCTGCAATGCTTCTTTGAGGACATAATCCCTCAAATTATTAGTAAACACAAAATACTTAGGTATTTGTGTCTGTACATATTTTAGTGTTTTACTGGAGTAAAACAGGTCAGGGCTGGAAAAAAAGAAATGGCTTACCATTTTCTGGGATCCAATACTAAAAGTTACCTGCTTTCATCTTGCTCCTCTACTTGACTAATCTCCTGAAATGGGAGGCAGCAGCTTTATCTCTGCACCCTAGAAGCTGGCATAGTGACCACCATGAGCAAGTAGAAAGAGAGGAGATGGAAGAGGAAGCCATGACAGGCGTCCTAACAATACAGCTCTGTCTGCCAAAGAAGATGGAGTTGGTGGGAAGTGGTCGGAGGCGTCACCCAGTGAGCACTGTTAGTGACAGCTGCAGCTCCTAAAAGGCAGCTGAGTAATTAGGACACAGAAAAAAGTAATGCAGCAGGCTGCTATGAAATGGACTGGGATATAGGTTTCTTGAAAAAAGGGCTGGCCAGCACAATTATCATCTGTGGTTATGAAAAAGAAGGTGTTGTATAAAATATAATTATGCGATAAATCATTTGGAGGCCTTTTAATGAAAAACATTCAGTAGGAAAGATTAAGCACAAGTTGTGTCCATTGTCTGAAACTGAGTGTGTTGCTCTTGGTGCCTTCTTTCTAGCATCCATAAATCCATGGGAAGCTTCTGTTTATCGATTTTATTTGCAGAATGCACTCAGGGTATAAAGTAATTTGATTTTTTTTTAAATGGGGTTTAGGGTCTGCCCCTACAGAGTTATAACTTACCAGGCATAAAAACCAACACATAAAAACAAACACACAATTTAAAGAGAGAAGCGCTCACAGCAGTAGAACCTGGGAATCCAGAAAGGTGGTGGGATTACTCCTGGGCACACCCACACTCTCATATATCTGCTAGGCTGAAATCTCCTGGTGGGTGATATTTTGGATGCTTTTCATGCATGGCATAGTTGAACTGTTTTTGAAAAATGCACCAATCCCACAGAGAAGAGCACAGTAGTTATTTAGCAAATATAGAAGGGGGGAGAGAGGATTTTCTTTATTGTTTATCAGAGCTAAAAATAACGCTGAGAATGTTAACCATCTTTGCAATTCATGTGAAATTTGTCCTTTTCTCATCAAAGTCAGCAACCCAGACTGATCAATGCCATTAATATTGTCCCTGATCCAGCTCACCCCACATGTGCAAACTTTGTGGCTTGCTGGCTGTGAACTGCAGAATAAATATTGCCTCCTGTTTTTACACTTCTTTTGCAGAGAATCTTTTTTTAATTCTAAGCAATTGAGGGTCATTAAATTTTATAGAAGTTTTTTTCTTTACCAACCCCATTAGGGTTCCGTTGCGCTTGTCCATTTCCTCATAAAGAAAAAAACTACATCTGTGTCTTTCCCACTTTGTGAGACTCTCTGCTTTGTGGTTCACAAGATGCATCCGTGATCAAAAATCTCCATAGCTGGAATGATAAATGCCAAGGAGGATAAACAAGGCAAGCAACAAAATGCCTTCTGTAGGGACAGAGATGTGCAGAAAGCCTGTAAAGGGCAGACCTTTCGGCTGCAGCTGAAAGCAGACAATAAATGGCCTTTGTGAGATTTTTTGGTGACTGCATAATCATGACAGTTATAGACCCTGAAAATAAAAAGTATGTACTTCGCTGTATGGTGTGATCGCCACATTTCAAAAAGGCAGAGGAGCTGTGAACCACTGGTGATACCAGTGGTACACCTGGCAGCCAACAACCAGAATAATCTTTTGAAATGAAATCTTGTAGGCAGACCATCAAAGAGCACCATCAGCTGCTGCAAACAGTGACTCTGGCTGTAAACAAAAGGGTGGTCTTAGAAAATTGGGAATAGGCCAGGGGGCATTCTCTTTGGTGACAACTATGCTAATGGAAACATATCATCACCCTTAATCACATCTTTGAAATGGATGCAAAGACACCTCTGGGATTTAAGCACCAAGCAAAGCTCTGATTTTATTTGGGAAGGGTCTTATTTGACCCATCTAGCACTCAAAATGTTTCATTTTGCTGATCCAAAGAAGTCTGTAATCACCTGTGAGTTAATGGCTCATCTTCTGTTCAGCTCCGTGGAGCAGGCAGAGACCAGCCATCTGCATGTTTGATAAGACCACAGATAAGCCAACAAGCTGGGGATATAGCTCAGTGGCATAAGCACCTGCCTGGCAAGCACAAGGTCCTGAGTTCGATTTCCAGTACCAAAAAATAATAACAATAAACTAAAAAATACCAAGAACTCACTCTGTGCCAAGCACAGCACCAAGGCAGGACGTACATTGTCTTGTCCAGTCCTCACAGAGATTCTAAGAGAGCAGAAGATCTTCTAGGAGCTAGGAACTATACCACCCCCTTACACTATGAGTCATTGGGGGCTTTAATAAGATAATTAATGTGCCTAAAGTTATCCAGCCAATAAGTGGTAGAACCAGCAACACCCTAAGCCCAACCATTGCCTTTTATTCCTATAAATATCTTAAAACTGTTTTAAGTCATATTTTCAGTAGGAAATATTTTCCGAAAAAAGTTCTTTCTCCAATTTAGTCATGGAAATAATATCTGTGAAAGTACCACTTACATACTTTAAACATATTGTTAAGGGTGCTTGTCTTGGTCACTTTCTTTGTCACTGGAACAAAATACCAGGCACCCACAACCTAAAGAAAAAAAGTTTATTTTGTAGAGGTTTCAGTCTATCGTTGGCTCTGACTCCAAGGCGGGACACGACACAGGAGCATAGAAGCAAAGAGCTACTCGCTGCAGGGCTATAAAACCCAGAGAAAGGAGGACCTGGAGAGGGAGATAAACTCTTCCAGGTCATGCTCCCAGTGACACACCTCCTCCCTCCACACCCTACCTCCGAAAATCAAGTCAGCTATAAACCCTCATTTTCCAGTCACCTTCCAACAATCCCACCTATGAGCATATGAGGTTCTTGGAGAATATCTAGATATAAGCCATAACATGGCTGTTGGTTCCCTTTCTAATGAATTCTTTTAAAGATGATTAAACTATCAGCTTCTGCTAGGGCTGTCATAATTACAAAATGCACCCTAAAACCTGGCTATGCTTCCCTATAAGCTAGGAGAACCATGCTACTATATAAGTGAAGATGAACTAGGCAATATATGCATTTCCCGGTAAAAGGCAGGTGTGACTAAAATGGGTGTTATTACAGTGGTCTGGTCCTGGTTCTGCAAAATTTCTCTGATTCAGTGTTTCTTAACGTATGGCTCACAGGATCATTGCCTTTACTTTCACCTGGGCTCCTTGATACCCATGAATTCTTTGAGTTTGATCCAAGGAATCTACATTTTAATAATCTGTCTAGATGATTTTATTTACAAAAAGGCTTGATTACTTTGCATCTAGAGTACCTAAGTCAGCTTATCCCAGATATGGGAAAAGTGCTACAGAGAAGAATAATAAGGGGAAAAAGACATATTCTCTATCAGTCCCTATAGGAACCGATACATCCCAACCTCAAGAGACTACCTAACCCTGCCCCAATGTGCAATTTACATATAAGCAGAGTCCCGAGGGATTTGAGCAGCGCTGAGACAGTCACTCTATGCAAAAACAGCTCTTCAACACTATTTTCTGGATCACTGTGATTAGAGATGACAGTGTTTGGGTGACTACATTTTCAGCACTGTCTTTTTTCCTTTGCATCCCTTCTTCTCAGCCTTCTTTGAAAATTAAAGTAATTCCAAGAGGAGATATAAATCAAGTTGCTATTACTTTAGTATAAATTTTATTATCTATAAAAAAAGGCAAGCTTGAACAAGATGTAATAGCTAACCCTTTTAAAATCTTTTTGAATGCATTATCTCATTTTCTTTTCAATAAAACATACAATTCATTTTGTATATGTGGCAACTATGATCTCGTGCCTTACCCAAGACCATGGAGATGAGGATGAATCCAGACATGCATTCATTACTTCAACAAAGGTGTGCTGGCTGTCTGCCAAATGCCAGGCACTGTACCAGGTACTAAGATTGCAATGGTGAGTCAAGTAGATCAGGCTTCTGCTCACAGAGAGCTTACATCTCATCAAAGAGCCAAGATGATGTTAGTCAGTCACTTCACCAAAATTCCAGGTGATTTCACCTCTACCTCAAATCCTCCTGCACAGTCATCACAGTCCCTTTCAGCTTCAATCTTCTGTCCTTGCTAAATCTGTGTGATTCTATGATGACAGGGCTTTGGGAACCTGAGAACGTGTGTGGTGCTGCAAATGGAACTCAATGAAAAAGATACAACCACAACCCACTGCCCTCATGTTGTAACTCTGTCTTGGCCTCTGACTGGCCTCGTTCAGTAACATTCTTTCCTCTTCTGACCCCTTCAGCAGCAGCATTGGCGTGTTCTTCTGTGGACCTAAAGCCCTGTCAAAGACACTTCAAAAGATGTGCCGCTTATATTCATCAGCTGATCCCCGGGGTGTTCATTTTTATTACAACAATGAAAGCTTCTAGATGGTGGAGGTAAATGTATGCATTACATAGGTGGACACAATCATATAGGTCAAGGCTCAGAAGGCTTTTCCCCAAAGAGTAATCATTTAAGCTTTAATGGATTCTACAATCTCAATTTCAATTTCTCAACTCTGCTCATGGAAGGTGCCCAAGTACCCACACAAACAGGAACATGAACACACAGGCTTGGGTGCATTCCAATGAAATTTTATTTGTGGACACTGAATAGGAATTCCATATAATGTTTATGTCATGAAATTTTTATTTTCAGCTACTTAAAATGTAAAAGTCACAGTTAACTGCTGTGCTAGCCCCAGTGTTTGGCTAGATTTGGCTTGCAAGACATAGCTTGCTGACTTCTGACATAAGTCATCTTTCCCAAGCCTATTTTCATGCTTAACATTACATCCAGTGTGGAGATGCGTACTGCTGCTTGGCTGGAAGTCTCCGTTAGAAAACATTTCAAAGTTACTTCACCCTGAAAGCAGACACCTGTCTTGTATCCTAACCTGCTCTTTCTGCTTTAAATTTAAGCCTCTTTGTGCTTTTTTTTTTTTATTTCTCTGTAGACTAGAAAAGTCACCAGTGGGGGTTACCTCATACAAAAGTCCTTCATGTGCTTGAAAAGGGTAATGACACCATCCCTTACTGATCCCTGTCTGGCCCACACAATACTAAATTCTCAACATTTCAACCCAGGACCTATATCTCTGCCCTTCAGTCATTCTCACTGCTCTTCTGCAAGTCACTTCCATTTTTTCACTTCCTCCTTAAATGTGTTGAATTAAATAAGACATAACGTTCTAATAGAAGCATCACTACTATTGGTAGAAGAATAACTTTTTTCTATTTTGTATGCCATACACACAAAAACTAAATTCTGTTTGCTTTCTCCCCTTTTTCCTGCCTGCTTCTTTTTTTTTTTTTTTTTCCGCTGCCTTCTTTATTTCTTACTCTCTTTTAACAAATACTTTTTATTACTATCACATTTTGATCAATGGTCATTTGATACTTAAACCTCAACTTCTGACTTAAAAAAGACAAAGGTATTTTTAAAAATTCTCATTGAGTCAATCTTTCTATACCATGTGGTGATTTCATGCTCAAAGTATTCCCTAGGTACTCCTTACATCTTATAGTTTCGGTCCAGTGTGGATTACTGTTTTAGAATTTTTCCTTCTAATAGTTCAAGATTGTTTTGAAGTTAACTCTGGATACTAATAGCAATATGTAGTTTAGTAGTATCTACAGATTTAATCAGTAATATCTCATACCTTTTGTTTCGGTTTTTAATTATACTATTGAATTAGAAGAACTCTACCAGGAAGTCCTCTGACTGCCTCTGAATATCAGTGTCCAGCTGGGAACTATTTAAGGATAACTGGCCATTGAGAAGAGTACATTGCACCACATTTTCTTAGCTTATAAATAATATGCCACATACACTACAGCAAAAGCATTTACTGAAATTAAAATAGATTATGTTTTTCAAGTGTTTATTATCTTTGCTGACCACCATTCTGTCATAAAAGAGAATTAAATTGTTCTGACATGATTTGTTTCCACAAAATCACTTAAAATCCTCCAAATATTTCTAAATTATAAACATCATTCATTTTACATTATTCTCAGACATTGATATTAATTATACAATTAATTTCTAAGGTATATATCAAATACACCCTAGTGGGGAAAGTTGTGTATAATGTCTCACAAAACTATTCTACTACTCTGCCTTGGAATTTTTTGGTATCTGTAAGTGTTGTTTGATGCAGATCGTTCACATGTACTAATTTTATTATACTCAGCTGTTCTGTGTAATTATTATCCTATTCAAGTTTGGGTTAGCCTTAATAAAAAGTAGAAATTTCTGCAGTCAAATCTAACTGATTCATAGGAAAATTAAATGTATTAGAACTTTTTCTTGGTCATATTCAACTGTTACTTTTCTTTTCTTGCTTATTTGAAGATAAAGTGTAATTTGAACATCCAGTTTTATCTAATAAGTTAAAACTTTCTTCTAATGAAATAAATTTTTTAAAATAGATTTTACCATTTTTTTAATGTCTGGGGATGCAGTTTAAACTTTATACCATTTTCCTACAAGCTATGTAGAATCTGACCAAACCCAATAAAAAAAGTCAAAAATCAATACATTTCTTTAATTCAGTAGTAACCAAGTAAAAAATGTATAGTTAAGAATTAGTTTATTTAAAATATGAACAGAAATGTAACAAACCTATAAATACATTTAACAAAAAATGTTCAAGATTATTTGATAAATAAATTTGCAGGGAGGCATTTTTCAATGAATTCACATAGCATGTTCCTACATGTGAATACTAAGCATAATAAAAGCACCAATTTGTTAATTAGTAGACTAAATGAAATTCCAACCAAATTTAAATTCTCGAGGTTTTTTGATAGGGTAATCCCTCTAAAGTTAATCTAGAAGAATACATGAGAAACAAAAGTGAACTGAATGTGGAAAAGAAAGGAATGGAAGCAAAAGGACAGGACAGAAGAAAAAGAGGAGAGGAGAGCAGGGGAGGGGAGGAGAGGGGAGGAGAGGAGAGGCGAAGAGAGGAGAGGAGAGAGGAAGAAAGGGGAGGAGAGGGGACGGGAGGGGAGAGAGGAGAAGAAGAGAGGGAAAG